CTGAGTACTTATTTGTCATGATTTTTTCCAAATTTGTGGGTTGCCTTTTCACTTTGTTGGTAATTTCTTTTGACGTGAAAAAACTTCTCAGTAAGAGCAGGTCCCAGTTGTTAATTCTTTCAACTGTTACCCGTGTGATTTGATTTTTGTCCATGAACTCTTTGCCTTAGGTAGACATCTTGAAGACATAGGGTACCCCCCTCAGACTACCTGGGAAATATTTCAGAGTCAACAACTGAAATCTCATCTTATTGGAAAGCTTTTGCACATATAAGGAAATCATCAACAGAGTGAAAAGACAACCCACAAAGTGAGAAAAAATTTTAAAAATTGTCCTCAGACAAAGGACTATCTAGAAAATATGAAGTATTTTTTAAAAATCAGACTCACCAAATTCAAAGACCCCAATCCAGAAATGGGCATCTGAGATGAATACATACTTCTCAGATGAAGAAATACAAATAGCAAATAAATCTATGAAAAAATGTTCAACATCAGTGGTCATTTGATTAATGCAAAGTAGAACAACACTGAGATTCCATCTCCAGAAAGAATGGCTATCATCAAGAAATCAACAAATGACAATGTGGCACTGCTGCTATTTGCTATTTTGATGGTAGATGACAAAATGAGATCATGGGAGCATTTTCAGAGAGGGAGTATATGAAAAGGATAGATGTGGGATTTGGGAGGAGATAGGTTTGATTCTACTTTTTCTATATTGTATTCTTCTTTGGTAGTGACATTAATTTTGTTTTGTGATGACATTAAGTATCCAAAGCACCCTGCCAATAAAATTAACCAGAGAAAATCAGAAAACGGCATCTCTTGTTATAAACCTAATTTATGTTCCTCTTGATGAATTTTTTTTTTTCCCCCCTGTGGGCAATGTTTGATCTAGACATTTGAACAGTATGGTATAATAGTATTTCTGCTTGAAGGGGCACATGGTTGAGTGAAGGGTACCTTCAACTTATCATTTATTAAAACTGGAAATGGAATTA